GCTCAACATAGCCCAAAACGGTGCCAACGTTGCCCAAAATGTCCCAACGTAGCCCAAAATGGCCCAAGATAAGCCCAATATGGTCCCAACTCTTGCCCAACAAAGGCCAACAGAAACCACAAAATACCACTAAAATGGCTCAACAAGGCAAACGCAAACCACAGAATACAACAAAATGGCCCAACATAATGGCCCAACATGAGCCCAATATGGTGCCGACATAGCCCACAATGGCCCAACATAAACCCGAGATCAGGCAAAACATAGCCTAACTGCAGCATGCCCCAAGAAGAAACAAAAACAAAAAAATAGCAGCAAAAACCCATCAGCAACGCAGTCCACAAATTGTATTTTTTCCTGGTATTTTGTGCAAACGCCTTGCATGGACGAAAAATTCAAACGACATTGAAATGCCCAAGTCCAAGACAAAGGCCGACACAGATCCGAAAATAGCCCAAAATGGCCCAACATGAGCCCAATATGGTGCCAACATGGCCCAAAATGTCCCAACATAGCCCAAAATGGCCCAAGATAAGCCCAATATGGTCCCAACTCTTGCCCAACAAAGGCCAACACAAACCACAAAATATCCCCTAAAATGGCTCAACATGAGCCCAATATGGTGCCAACGCTGGCCCAACATCCCAGAAGCGCGCAACATGGGCAAAAATGAGGCCGACGGAAAACCAAAACTGCACCCTCCTGTTCTGCAAATCAAAAATTGGGTTTGCACACGCTCCATGCCCCCCCCCCCCACACACCCCCCCCCTAGGGCAAAGCTACATCAACTCCTTGCGCTGTTCCAGCGCTTTCCGTCATCAAAAATTGGGTTTGCACACGATCCAATGCCCCCCCAACACCCCCCTAGGGCAAAGCTACATCAACTCCTTGCGCTGTTCCAGCGCTTTCCGTCATCTGTACCGCCCCCCCCCACACCCCCCTGTTTCACCTACCGGAAAAACTTCCAAGCGTTGGAAACGCTTTCCGTCATCCCGGAAGGAGAGAGTTCCATCACTGCTGGAACTCTTTCCTTCCAGGATTTGAACCCTCAGGTTCAGCTTGCAGGGCGCCACTTGAGAATAGGTACCCTGCCTTCCTCCTCTTTGAAAATCTCCAAACCCCGGAAGGAACGGGTGCCAGCCGGCGCGGTTGGCACCCGTTCCTTCCGGGATCTGAACCCTCAGGTTCAACTTGCAGGGCGCCCTCATAACCGCTTGAGAATAGGCACCCTGATAACCTTGAAGACCGCCAGGGCTTTGTAAGGCTTTGTACAGCAAGCTGTCCTTGCAAGCATGACATCTTTAATCGCAAAGAAAACCCTTTTCAGCTGCTGCAATGACCTTGACCTTGACCCAGTCCACTTATGTATTCGTTCCCTCTCCTGTCGAGTTGCTGACCTCCTTAGAGGGATTTGAGCCACAGGCTGCAGAATACTGAAGGCCTAGTCACCCACTGAGCCAATGCGGGCCCAATCACCTCATCCAAAAGGTCTCCCAGTGCAGTCACTGCAGATTGCTTGGACTGCCAGAGCTCCGCCGACCACACGGTTTCGAACCCCGACCGTCTTGCACGGTAGAGTCCACTGGTAACTCTGAGCCAACATGGCCGCGATACCACCTAATTCTAGGCAATTGGCTCCGCACAAGGTGCTTTTGGTTTTTCCTTTCCCTTTGCCATCCTCCTGCCTGTATGGTACATGCCCAAATTTACTCCTTTTCAAGAAATCAATCATACTGAAGAGGATAAGGATCTGACCTTGGAAGCTGAAGGTCAGATGCTCGAATCCCGGAAACAAAGTGCGGCACTCAACATAGTGCACAGTTAAACTGTGCTCACTGTGTAATCCCAGGCTGTGATCGACTGGGACCGCGCACCAAAGAGGAGACCATTTCTCTTCTAACTCCGATTTCTTGTCTCGGAGAAAATTTTGGCATGTACCATAGGCTGGTAAAGGGAAAGGAAAAACCAAAAGCACCTTGTGCGCAGCCAATTGCCTAGCTTTTTGGATGCGCTGCCAGACGCTTCTTGCCTCATCAGGTGAACTATCCTCATGCGATGATTATTTTAACTACTGCAGTAATTAATAAGTTCGGTATAGTGGAAAACAGTGGAAAAATCTTGAAACTGCCATGATGAAACCAGTGTGTCTGGTATTTGTGTGCTTGGAAAGTGCCATTCTCAAGCAGATCTTTTTTCCTTCCAAGCACTGTTTTTGGCAATTCCAAGCCTGTTTCAGTTTCATGACCTCCCAAGTTTTTTAAATATCACCACGTGTCCCTTGCAAAACAGAACTGGAGAAAACACGACTTTTAGAAGGACTTGGTCTTACCCTTCGCAGCATCATGTGTGACCTTGCAAGCATGACATCTCAGCCCCAAAACCTCAAGCTGCTGGAACGACCCGTGACGTGAATTGATGAAACCTCCCATCCCGCCATTAATTGATTACTGGGCTTGCTGCGTTCTGAAAAATGAGCTGGGGCTGGCGCGGTATTTGGCGCAACCTTTTCCCAATCCCTTTATTTCCTGCGATTTTGTGGGGTTTCCGGGATTTCCTGGGAGAACCTGGGTGTTATTTTCTGCGATTTTGTGGGGTTTCCGGGATTTCCTGGGAGAACCTGGGTGTTATTTTCTGCGATTTTGTGGGGTTTCCGGGATTTCCTGGGAGAACCTGGGTGTTATTTTCTGCGATTTTGTGGGGTTTCCGGGATTTCCTGGGAGAACCTGGGTGTTATTTTCTGCGCTTTTGTGGGGTTTCCGGGATTTTCTGGGAGAACCTGGGTGGAAACAGTTGGGGATGGGCCTGGGAGAGCTGCAAGAGTTAGTTCGGGGAAAAGTGGCTGGAGGGTGGCCCGCTATTTTGACCCATAATTTTTAAATTTCTGCCGCAGGCGTTGCCGCCCCCTTTGGCCTGCAGGTTTGCCACGCTTTAAAGTTTAGCTATAAGCATTACAGGGGTATAGCAAGTTATAACTTCGATAACCATAGGTTATCGAAGTTATAACCAGAGATATCGAACTTATAACCATGGTTATAAACTTGCTAACTAGGATTTAAAAAATATATAAGTACCTACTGGCGTCCAAGTGGTGAGAAGTTGTGTGTCACCAAGTGCCACGCCTGCCACGCAAAGTGAAGGTGGATGTCACCACGTGCCACGCCTGCCACGCACTTGTGGTGACAAGTTGTGTGTGGACAAGTTGTGTGTGTGAGCAAGTTGCGTGGTGACAAGTTGTGTGTGTGTGTGCAAGTTGTGTGTGAGAAAATTGTGTGTGGTCAAGTTGTGTGTGTGAGTAAGTTGTGTGTGGACAATTTGTATGTGTGGACAAGTTGTGTGTGAGCAAGTTGTGTGGTGACAAGTTCTGTGTGTGCAAGTTGTGTGTGAGCAAGTTGTGTGGTGACAAGTTCTGTGTGTGCAAGTTGTGTGTGAGTAAGTTGTGTGTGGACAACTTGTGTGGACATGTGGGCGGGCGGCGGGCGGACGGCGGGAGGCAGGAGTAGACAACCAAAAACAAGAACCCCACACAAAGATGTGGGGAAAAATCCAGGGAAACCAGCAAGCTTTGAATGATGCAGAAAGACGCGGTGATGTCTATCAGAAAGATGGTTACTTTCATGTCAAGACAATAGCCACAGCCATTGTGCCCTGCAATGGTATTGCATGGTTGCCAAGCCAACCTCACCAAGGATGAGAGTTCGCAGATGAGCCAATTCATGTCGAGCAGGCCCTGGAACCAGTTTGGCACTGGAGCTAGTGGTGGTGGCAGTGGTAGTGGTAGTTGTGGTATGCTTCCTCTACACCAGCTGTGGTTGCTTCATCCGCAGCATTGCCAAAAGCGATTTGTGACGCTCCAATTTAACTGAGCTGGGCAAGTGTGCAGCATGACATCAAAGAAACCAAAAAGTGGTTCAGGAGCGACTGGGCAGAGATTGTCAAAGACTGGCTTCCAAAATCTTGGACAAGAAAGAACAAAAATCAATGATACTTTGAAGGATGCCCTCACTGAGCTTTCAAAGACAGAATGCATGCTTGGACAACGTTTCATTGCCAAGTATGATTGATTCATTATTGCCATAATCTTGTTTCATGCCTTTTCTGACTTTTCCTCATTGTTGCCATGCTCTTATTTCATAAATTTTGTCAGTGACACCAAGACGACCTACCATAAGATCATTTGATCCAATCCAAGCGTCAGAGAAAATACATGAGATCTTGTCAAAATAAATGAAGTAAACCCATGCATATGTCAGCAGCAGATATAGTAACCCTAAGAGAACATCAAACACACATCAGAAAACAACAGAAAACAAACACAAATATATGTACAAATGATATGAAACAAGAACAACATTGGAAATTACCCTTAAAACTAACCCTCAAAAATTAACTTCCAAGGTTATTTTTAAAACCTAAGCAGTTAATTTAACAACACACAAATGACCTTCATCAAGGTTAAAAAATAAGAGTTACCTATTTTGCTCCAAATAGCCTTGACTGACCTATAGGGTAGTAAAACAGCTGGCGTAGATGATCATACATGAGCATACTGGGCGTAGCTGTATATATATGCAAATGCTGAGGTATAAACACGTGCAACATTGCCTCGCGGCGGATATAGCGGTAGGAACATAATGGTGTTTATTGTCTCGATCCCGTTGCACTCACATTTCGCAACTGCATGCCTGTGCACATGTCACATCAATATCCATGGTATTGTATCCACAGTGGTCTTCAACATTACCGGCATATAGTGCCCACAAATAACCAATCAAACCTTGTTTGGGTCAATGCAATCTTTATTTGGAAATTTCAATAGTGCAAGCTGCAAACAAGAGTTTTGTTTGATTTCAGGATGGGCAATCTCAATATTTTCGATTCCTAAAATTTGTGTATCACAAGCCATTCCGACCCAAGATTCTCGTTCCGACCTGAAATTTGAAGTCCGACTTGAAATTGGAAGGTCATGAGTCAAAAATGACCCCCATGGAGGGTTCAGGTAATTAGTGTTTGGGCACATGGTCCCAAGAGAACATCAAGTTTGTAACCCATGAACTCATCCAGGTCAAGCGACGGCAGCTGCCCTCGAATAGAACATTGCCATTGCTTAGCTGATCTAGCAACATGTCGTTTGCCGCTTTGTCAGCATTCGTGAAGGACAAAAGAAAATCCGTGCCTTCGGCCTGCTGCTGAGCTTCTGGATCCCGACGAGCTATATGACCTATAGGGATCCATTTGCGCACGTTTTGGATTTGTTCTTCAATCTCGGTGTCAATTGCCGCGTAGGTCTTTGCCATGTCTCGATCTTGCTGTGCTTCAGGATCTTCAGGGAGAAGAGACGCGCCAGCTTCAGGAGGCAGCTTCCGAGCCAACTCCCGAGCAAGGCTACGATAGGTGTACAAGAGCGCAAGAGTCTTCGGATTTTTTTTCTTGGCAATTTCCTCTGTAAAACGCTGTATCGCAGTTTTTGGATCCTGCAATGCGTGTGAACAGGCGCCCTCTGAGCCAAGAAAAACTGAATGTGAAAACTCGCAAAAATAGGGGCTGTTCATGGCTGCTCGAAGATTTACAAATACGAGCATCGGCTCAAGTAGTCAATTTCAAAGTCTACAACTTCGAGATGAGAATCAAGGTGAGGTACACCTTCGGAAACCGGGTCAATGTTTACAAGAAGAAAGACACAAAACAAGTGTATCATCACACTGTATCTGCGTCTGTCTGTTCGCTGTAAGTGGATGGTCATTGTATGTGCCCTTGACTCGGATGGAACCATATATATATACCCAGGACTTCCTGGTCGTGGTTTAGCCATGATCCAGCACAACGTCGTGGTTTTACCAGAATCCATGCTTATATTATGATCTAAGGAATAACTCATCATTTCATGGTGCTGGCTGCTACTCCAAAGTTATCTGATGTTCTGAAAGATATCACCTTTAGCTGAATTTAGCACAAATGTGTGGAAGCTGGTGGTTTTAGCAGCCGTGATCACACCGTGAGACAACCGTGAGACAACTGTGAGACACCGTGAGACCCCCCCCCGAACGTCGTGATTTTGTTTATTGGCATCAAGGCTTTACCGTGAGCCAACCGTTTGCCAACCGTGAGCCAACAGTGACTAACGGCTACCCTGTGCGTGTGTCTGGTGGTATAGACACGAGAATGGTGATGGTGAAGCATACACTTTACTTGATCAACATGTTTTAATTCATGAACATGAGAATGATGATGATAAAATCTATACCTTAATTTGGCGATGTATGCACGTCGTGGTCTTACCGTGTCTTCTTTCGTGTACCTCGTGGTTTAACTATGTCTTTCGAAGTCCTGGGTATATATATATATATATCATTACATGCATTACTCTCGACCGGGGATGCGACGCCAGGTCGTTTTGTCGACGCTGGAGCCGCATGGCCAAGGCATCTTAATTCAGAAGAACTTACTCTATTTGGTGGTGAAATGCGAATCTGCATTTTCCAATGGGAAACTGTCCTGGACATTTGCCGGCAGGGGCGAACTGTCCTCGACATTTGCCGCCAGGGGCGAACTGTCCACAACATTTGCCGCCAGGAACGCTCTATCGGCCGACGCAACCCTTTTTCAATGCTTCTAGCGTTGAAGGAAAAACAAGCACGCAGCTGGTGTCAAAGCAGTTGGAACTTGATTGGGGGCTTTTTGTGGTGTGGTTTTGAGACTTTTGAGCTGGTTGGTAAGGGGCCAGGACGAATCTTGATTTTTGGGGCACTCAAAACTTCATAGGTTATGAGCCCAAAAGCAGGTCAAAAGAAACTCCCACAATCTAAGCCTAGTTTGGACATGGAGATGCGTCGACGCCGTGCGGATGAAAAGCCGGCCGCTGGCGCTGAGAACCATGGCGCTGAGAGCCATGGCGCTGATGGCGCTAATTCGATTGGCGGCTGGCTGCAGCGGAGCTGACGGCGGCGCTCAGCAGAGGCCTGCAGCTGTTGCGCTGGCTGGCAACGTGGAGGAGATTGCGATCATAGGACAGGAGATTGTTCCGGTGGAAAAGAGGGAAATCAAGGCCGGCAGCACAGGAAAAAGAAGCTGCTCTAGAAAGGTTTCAGACTTCTGGGGTCCAAAGACCCCTGACCAATTGCAGTTGCAGAACAGTCCAAACTTGGAAACAAACGAAGACAGTGGCAAGAAAGGTGAATTTCCAAGGCTACCAAGTTTTCTTCATGGCCTCCTGCCTGGTTATGACCAACTCCAAGAAGCACGGCAACGTGAGCTATAGAATGGCGTGCACACATGGAGATGATGGTCGAGCAACTTGGACTTGAGTCGCGGGCTTCCCATAGTGAAAATGTTCGTTTGAGACAAGAGCTTCATGAAGCAAAGGAAAAATCATCACGATATGGAACCCCAGAAGAAACCCTGTCTTCAGAAAAAGGAGAGGGTCAAAGGGTTATTCATGGAGTGACAGTGGTGAACTTTGGGAAGGAGGATGGGGTAGCAACCCAGCAAGACTCAGGGTTTGTTATGGGGGCTACTTCAAAGAAAAAAACAAGGAGGATTGGGCAGTCGCTCGAAAAGATCTCAAAAAGGAGGAAGGGGTAGTGACCCGGCAAGTAGTTAGAGAGGAGGATGGGACCAGGGTCCAGCAAGTATCTAGCGATGTTTTTTTCCAATGGTGATCAATCTGACCAATCTCAAGACTCAGTCGATGGAGATCAAGGGAAAGAGGACTGGCCAGCTGACCGACAACACCATCATGCTCCACCCGAAGGTCAAACCATGCAGGTGCTCCTTCAGATTGTCCAGGGAATGCAGTCATGCAGAAGCAGCTGATGGAAGGACGAGATGGTCACAGGGACGAAGCTGAGTTTGCGCGATACTCGCCAGATCTTCCACGTCTACCAGGCTGGAGTGCTGAGACAGCACCCATTGACTTTGGCGACTGGATCACGTGCCTCCACACCTACATGTCTGACTTGATCCGCACTAGTGAACGATGGTGGGATTTGAATTTAGAGACAGCCAAGGGGGTGGTATCAAAGTCATATATGCAGATGATGCCAATCCAAAGGTTGTCCCATGTGATCTCCGAGACCCAGGCAGAAAAAGTGGGGAGCTCCTCACTACTGGTGGTTGCGCTGCCTGATCAGCTTTGTGAGGAAGTGATCATGTTCGAAGTCGGCCACAGCCTTGGGGATCGTTGCAAAGGCTATGCGGCTATGCTTCGGGTTTGAGGTCACCGGCCAATCGAAGAACCCGAAAGCTCTGGGCACGGCAAGGAGTTTTGGAGAATATTCTGGAGAATATTCTGGCTACACCCTGCGAAGAGCCTTCCACGAAGTGGGGGGAGAGATTGATGTTTGAGTTGGATCTTTTGCATGGAAGGGCTGAAAGAGATCTGTCCCCGCCTGGGACTGCACACCCCTCTTTGCTGCGATTGGCACTTGACAGTGTCTCCAAAGGGTGGGTAGGTGGACCTCCCTGCCGCGCAAGATCGATGTTGCGGCATCTCATGGTGGAAGGCTTGGACATATGCCACGCCCTTTGAGAGCATGGAATGGGAAAGAATATGTTCGTCACGATCTTTCGCAAGCTGAACAACCCTGAGCATCGCTTTTTTGATTAGAATCAATATGGACCCAAGTTTTTTTTGATTTAAAAAAATTGGGAAAATCAGAAGGGAAAATTATTGTTTTTTGGTGTTTTTCTTTTGATTTTTCTTTTGATTTGTGTTTTGATTTTCTTTTGGTTTTTCTTTTGATTTTTTGATTGTCATGTTGCTCGTTCTTAAAACCTGTTGCCTGGCACTGGTGGTTACCATCCTGCAGCATTTTTGCTTCAGCTTACATTTATATAGTTGCAATAAGAAACGGTCTTGCTTTGGAAAAGGCCAGGTTCTGGGCATGGCAGCCACAGCAGGCAGGGAAGCAGGTGGCTTTGGAAAAGGCCAAGGAAGAGGAGGACCCAGGCACCTTTAAAAGCCCTATGTTGACAGTGGCCTGGTGTACAAAGTTTTGTCTGAAGGCCAAGAGACATTGGAAGACTTGGGGCCCTATGAACATGTGAGCAAAAACAATTCACCAGACCCCAAAGGCTTGGTGAAAACATTGCCACTGTGGAAAGGGCTGCTGAAGCTGGAGAGCTCTGGCGAAATCCACACCCAGCCTCTCAGGACTGCCTTGATAAGTTTGTTAGCTGAAGCCCCACAGCTCAACAATACAAGGCACTCAGGCCAAGTGTGGGCTAATTTGAAAATGGAAAGAATTGGCACCATCCTGTTCCATGTTAGAAAACTTGGCAGGGAAAGTTTGGCTGCAGCTGCAGCCAAGCTCACCAGGGAGGAGTATGAAAAGCATTGAAAAGCTCCAGAATGGGCTCATGCTCTTGGATGTTGGGGAATCTTGGGAAAAGGCAAAAAGTATGAAGAAGGAAAGTGCAGAGGAATGCACTGCACTGGTGCCTTTTGAGCCTATTTTGGAAAAGAGAAAGCTCAAAAAGACTGACAGTGATGTCACCATGGACAGCAAAGGGTTTCCAGCAATGTTTGACAGCCCACAGAAGGAAACCAAAACACATGAGTCATCTGCTGCACCCAAAGCCTTTGACAGAAGCAGGCCTGGAAGTAAAACAGCACCTTTGGAAAAGGGTGAGTTGCATCAGGCTTTAGGGTTTGGGAAGGCAGCAAAAAAGAAACCTGCTGCTTTGGAAAAGGCAGTAAGACAAAATGTTGGAAAGAAGAAGCCAAAGAAAGCAGGTAAGAAAAACATGCAGAAGGAAACAGCTTCTTTGGAAAAGGAAGAAAGGAAAAAATGGGTCAAGATTAGGAAAACAAAGGGCAACAACCCTCAAAGAGCTTACCTAGTTGGTACCAAAGACACAGATGGCAAATTGAGATTGATAGTAGAAGTGACTGCCAACAGGCGCCCAGATGGCTACAACCAAATCATTGATCAAATCTGGACATCTTTGGAAAAGGATTGTCTCACAAAAGCAGGGGCTTTAGACCTCAGAGAAAAATTGTGCAAAGAATGGGACTGCTAGACAGCTTGCATTTGGGAAAGTGCTGCTGCTGGGCTTTGGAAAAGGCCAAGTTTTGTTTGCTAGCTGCAGCCTGGCAATCCTAACATGGGACCTGCCAAACAAAGCCAGTTTGAAAGAGAAAAATGCTGGCAGCCACAACTTGTTTTGGAACCACTGATTTGCAGGTAGGTAGATGGATGGATGGATAGTATATAGTTGAGAATGCCCACCCTACTTTCCATGAAATTTTGTTTTGAAACTTTACCAATATATACAGGCATATTTAATAGTATATATATATATATAGTGTGTATATATATAATATATATATATATTGTGGATTGACCACAAAGGTAGGGAACTGAGATGATCCAAGCGGATTCCAATGTCAGAAGCTGCATGGATGGTGTTGACTCCCTGATCACCGTGATATGAAAGGTCCCCTGAACCAACAGTAATGAGATTTCTCCAGTAGATTGGCCACGCCTATGGCTCACACAACCTATCCGCCCCAAGCGCTGCAAGTGGCTTTTCCTGGACCACACCTGCTGCAGCAAACCCCTCGCTTGGGCCTTTAAAGTGGCCATCGGAATAAGGTTGCAAACCCACTGGATTGAATGTCGGACATGAGGCATGTAGACAAGATCCCCTTGGCAGCTGGCATATGGATATGCAGGAACTTGGAAATTCACACTCCCAAAATTTCTTTTTTATTTAAAGACTTAACATAAACAAACAAAACTTACCTAAGTGGATCGGTTGTAGGCTTCGGCGTTTGACGGCTGATCTTTGGCAACTGCATTGGACAGCCAGGTTTTGAAGGCTTTCCGGTCAGCTCTTTGCTTTAAGGTTTCATCCATGTCATGAAGACAACATCTGCGGTGTTGAAGGAATTCACGAATTCGAAAACAGTCCATGACCTTGGTAAGTGCATCTGATAGCTGGGCCGCACTGTGGACCCAGTAAGGCTTGATTCCAGAGTTCAAGTGACTTTTGATGACAAGTGCTTCAATGAGTGCACGATGTTCTTGGCATTGAGGTGTGGTATTCTTTGTTATTGCATCGAATAAGGACTTACAATCAACAACTGCAATGCTGGGATGTGTTTCATGCCACACTTTCTCAGGAGTCTGCCATGGAATGTTCGGATTTTTGATCCATTCCCAGGAAAGTCGCAACCAATTGGTGAGATCCACAGAAGAGGATAGAGCATAGGTCTCTGCGGCTAGCGTACTCGCCACTACCCGGTCTATCTTCTTGGAAAACCAGCAAAGTGGGCTTGCTCTTGCACTCTTTTGAAGGAAAACATCCTGATGAACTGCTAAAAACAATCCTCCCTTTTGACTATGTTGCTTTTCACGTGTCGCAAACGAGGCATCAGAATATGAGACAAAACGTACATCATCAACATCAATACTCGAGCTGATAAGTCTGGTCTGGTGTTTGTGGCGGCATATTGCAAGGATCCAATGATACCTCGCAGGCTTTGACGTTCCCCTTCGGTCACCTCCATTTGTTCGTGTTTTCGGCGCGTTCTCTCAACATGAATGGGATCGATGGCGAGGATATAATCCGTTTGATTCAAATGAATATTGTAGTTTTCATCTTGAGTGATGTGTATTCCAGTGAAAGTGAAGTCCTGTCGTCGTTTGGAGCCAAATGGGAATTTGTTTTCAAGTAGATTCAAAGTACGTTCAAACGTTTCATCCCCACAACATAGCCCATCATCGACATGCATTCCGATAAGACCATGAACTTGTCCCTGTTTTCCCACCAGGCAAAATAGGCAAGGATCCAAAGGGCTGATCTGAAATTGCAATTCCAGAAGACTTTCTTTTAGTTCAACATACCATAGGTACGGCGCATTGACAAGACCATAAGCCGATTTCAGTAATTCGCATGTTTCTGTTTCTTTCATGTTCAGTTTAGCACGAAGTTCTGGAGGAGGCTCAACACCCAGTATCCGGTTATCTCGCCGGGAGCCTCTCAAAAAGGCGGTCTTGACATCAAAGCTCTGAATGACCCAACGTCGAGCCGCACAGTATTGCAGAAGAAGAGCTCGTGATTCTTTCTGTAGTGTTGGTGAATCCCTGGGAATGTCAGTGAGATCAGGGTCCATGTATCCTAGAATCACAAGTCTAGCTTTTGCTTTGCGGCTTTTCCCTTCTTTTGCTGCATCGATTGGATCGAGATCTTTCCAGGTTAGCACCCATCTGCACTTCAAGATGTTGTCTTCCGGAATTTTGTGTCGCAGGACTTTCCGAACTGTTTCAGTGGCTAACCATTGGTCAATCTCTTTATTCTTTGCAGCTTGGAACTCGGCAAGTTGACTCGGGGAAAGGTCTTTGAGCTTTACTTCAGCTCGCTGCCTCTTGGCTGCTGAAGCGGCAAGCACTGGAAAGGCATCAGGGTCGTTCCCTATGATTTCCAAATCCCCTGCACTGAAGAAAATTTCACATTCGAGGGCTTGATCGTCTTGAACATTGAGAATATCTTGAAAAGGTTCAGTAGGTTCCCCGCCATTCATCATGAGTGTAAAAACTGTGATGCCTGTCCAAGGTTCCTGAGTAGTCCAGTGAACATCATCTTTGTTCGAACACCAGCTATCAGTTTTGGACCAAATATCCCCATGTGCATGGCTTCCGGTGGTGCACCTAGTTTCCATCACATTCAGGATGTCTACTGGGCAATCAGCGCAGCTGCTAGGATCAAAGTCGGTCCAGCGCGGTCGATGGTGGATACGGAGGAGTTTGTCACCCTGACACATCCAGACATCTTCAACAACAAAATCATCATCACTCGGAACAGGGATTTCATGAGGTGCTGCTGGCATGGGTTCTTCACCTAGATTATCGGAAATTCTATCATTGATCGGTGTCGTTGGGGTATATCCACTGCTGGCTTGGGATGCTGGTGGCATATTTGGTTCGGAGTCAGGCTGTTCCATATTGTCACCTTCCGATAATATTGTCGGAGGCTCTGGAGGCAATGGCACAGCTGGGACAATCTCTGATTCTTCCGTTTCGGGAAAACTTGTGGGACCTGCCTGTTGAGTAAGGTCTTCATATTGAAAAACTCCCTTACCATGATCTTTTCAGGAAAGTCCATTCGGGAGGTAGCTAATTGTTCCATGCTTTGTTGGACTTCATGCAAAGATAAACTTCGAATGTGTTCAGGAGCTACTCTGTATACCCGGCTGGAAAAAGATATCCAAACTACACGGTCAGATTCTTGGATGATGACCCTGGCCGGCCCATGCCATTGGCCACGATATTCACCCTTTCCTGGACGCCAGAACATGACAAAGGATCCACCTATATGTCGACCTCGGTGAGGTCTTTGCCTCCGTCTACGTAGCTTCTCGCCGTTGTTAGCTTGTGCAAAAGCCCTGCGAGCATATTCACGATATTCAAGGTGTTTCCTAAAGGCTAGTCCCTCGGGAGTGTCTGACTCATAGAGAAAATGTGATGCTTTGGGCACATCTTCGCACACACTTCCGGGCAGGCATTGACTCTTCCCAAGTACTAA